ATGCCCTCTCATTCAAACTTGTTCATCTATTTCTCTATTTTAAGCCACCCAGTCATTTATACCCCCCTCCCCACAAGTACTTGGCGCCAGGCCCCGATGGAGGCATTCAGGGCCCTGAACAGAGACCTCTGGCTCCAGCCCCAGCCTTGGCAGGAACCAGCTGCCTCGAATCACTTCCACTCGCTGCACTTCAGGGCAGGCTTTGCCCCATGGGTGGGCTGGGGAGAGGACAGGCCTCCCTTGGGCAATGAGTTTTGAGCTGCTCTTGCCTCTAGCATGGGAACGATCAGCTGCAGCGCCTGGTCCCCGCCCTGCTCTGTCCCCCCTGCCGCCGCGGGTCACTCTCCCATGCACGCTGCCCTGCCCCGGCCCCCCTTCCCTCGGCTGCAGCTGGTGCGTGGGGCCCCTGCGGGGCTGCTGGGCCAGAGAAGCTGCTTGCTCCCAGGTCCAGCTCTGGCCTGGCTCTGTTGCCCGCAGCCGGGGCAGGGACTTGGGTGCACTGAGCGGCTTGGGTGTGCCCGGTGCTGCCGGCACCAAGGGCTGCTGTGTGCACTGGGGCTGGGGCCAGTGTGGTGTTTGCAGGCTGCTGTGACTCAGGGCTCCCCCCGCCCTGGGAAAGCAGCCCAGGGAACAGGCCTGTCCTTTCAGCACCGACCTGGCCCCCGCCCTGGAATGTGCTCGGGGGGCCGGGGGGGTCTGCGGCTGCGAGGGGAAATAGCAGAGGCGCCGGCGCGTTCCTTTGCACAGCTGCCCTGGCAGGGCTGTGTCTGACCCTCCCAGCTGCAGGAAGTGGGCTTGGTTTGTCCCTCCCTGATGCAGCCTCCTCGCCCGTGCGGTGTGGGCCCAAGCTGGACGGGCTGCTCCTGCTGGCCCTGGGAGCCTCGGTGCCTGCCTGGTAGAAGGCCTCAGGCTCCAGCTGCCCCCTGCACCAGGACACAGTGCAGGGCTCGGGCGCATCATCTGAGCCAGGCCTAGCAGTGCCAGGGGTGGGGCGCACATGGCTAGTGGGGCATACAGCAGCCAGAACAGGAATGAGCTGCCCACGCATGGGAAACAGTCAATTTTATAGGGAAAATATAATTACATTGAGGAGCTGGGGGCGTGTGGGGCAGCAGGGCCTGGTCCAGGGGCCACAGGGCCCGGGAAGACCGTGTCCCTGAGCTGTGGTCCCTGCAGAGTGCATGGAGGTGCCAGCCCTGCTCCAGGGCGCGTGGGGCACCTGCCAGGAGTCCACTGGGGGGACGAGGCGGGTGATGGCTTTAGCTGTGCCCCAGCCCGTGTTGCCGAGGCTCACCGGCCTTGCCTGCTGCCAGTGCTGGGCCCACGGCTCTGTGTGGCCAGGTGTCCCGGCACGTCCCCTTTGCCCACTGCTGATGGAGCCCCAGTGCCAGCCCTAGCCCTGTGGCCAGGCGGGGGGGCAGTGAGGGGCAGTGGTTCACTCACAGTCCAGCCCCAGGCTGCCGGCTGGTGCTGGCAGGGTCGTCTCTGCTGGCAGGGCCAAGCCGTGGGCGCTACATGACCTGGTTGTTCAGCTGTCCCGGGTACTGCTCGAAGCGCCGGTTGGCCTCCTCACTGAAGGCATCGCCTGGGCAGCATGAGTGGGATCCAGCTCCAGGGGGGATGCAAACCTCTGCCCCCAGCCTGCCCTGCCCGCAGCCCCCATGTCAGAGGCTCCCAGCCCAGGTATCCGCACCCCTCCCGTGTTACCGATGTGGCAGTTGTGCACCCAGATGCGGTGTCCGTCGTATTTGCAGTTGCACTTCATGGCATTGTTGGTAAAGTCACTCTCGGCCACCTCGAAGTTGGGGTTAATCACCACCTGCAGGGAGGGGGCCAGGTCGCCTCATGGTGCTGCATGCATGGCCTAGCCCATCACCTGCAGCTGTCACAGGCCTCCCCAAACCCATGTCTGGGTGGGTTTGGATGGAGCTGATCCCGCCTCTAGCAGGGCTTGGAGTAGAAGTGACCCCACAGCCCCCTGCCAGCCCCACGGCTCCGGGATTTCTAGGGTCCCCATGACTCCTCTGGGTTTGCCCCCTCCGGGGGAGGGGAGCAGCAAGGGCTGTAGGGCAGGCACTGCACTGTACCTGCAGGATGTAGTTGCCGGGCTTGACGTCGGTGATGTCGATCCACTGGCAGTCGATGTCGTGGCGGTACAGGTCCCAGCAGCCCACTGTGATGCCCTGCTCCCCAAAGTTTGCGCACTCGTACCTCTTGGCCACGTCTGCAGGAAGTGGGGGTGAGTCGCGGCCCTCCCCCTGCCCTGGCTGCCCCCCAAGACCAGGCCCAGTGTGCAGGGAGTGTGGGGCAGGGGCCATGGCTGCTCACACCCGGTGGCACCCACCTTCCTCGCACTCGGTGTCCTCCAGGCAGAAGCTGGCCTTGTGGCCCTCGGCCACCTTGGTGCCGTTGGGCGTGAGGATGTCATAGTGTGTGAAGATGTCCATGCTGTGGTAGTGCCTGGGGGACCGCAGGGCCAGGTTGGGGTGGGGGGGTGGGGCTCCAGGATGGTGCGCTGCAGCCCCATGCGTGTGGACGCATCCCAGAGCCGTGCTGGCCACAGCCCTGCCCCCAGACATGGTTCCCAGAGCCTGGCTGGACCCCAGAGTACATGTGCCACTCTCCAGGGCCTGTGGTGAGATTATCACCCCCCCCCCCCCGTACCCCGGTACCCCTTTGGCACCTCCCATGGACCTGTGGGCTGGGGCCAAAGCTGCACCAGGCTTAGTGCACCAGGGCCGTGGCCCAAGACCCCCACAGTCATGCCCCTTGCTCCCTGGGCCCAGCCCCACCACCCTGCTTGGCTCAATGCCCCTTCTGCCCTGGCCCCAGCACAGCCCCCTGGGTCCCAGCACTTGCTACACCACTGCTTGGCCCAGCACTGCCCGTGGGGCAGCCCGTGTGTCCCAGCCCCCAGCATTACCCGTGGCACTCGTGCCAGACCCAGGAGTGGCGCCCAGCCTTGGGGCGGAAGTCGGCGCGGCCGTAGTTGTGGATCTGGGAGGAGAAGCGCAGCAGGCGCCGGTGCCCGTAGGGCCAGTTGGCGTGGCGGGCAGAGCTGGCCAGGCAGTTCTCCTCGGCCGCGCAGTACAGCATGTGCAGTGGCCGGTCCTCGATGTAGGCCGTCTCCTGCACCAGTGCCGCATGCAGCAGCAGGTCCGAGGCCGCTGCAAGGCAGGGGAGGGTCAGCGTGTGGGGTGCAGCCCCCAGCCCACTGCGCTCTCCCCCCAGCCCCCGCTGCTTCAGGACCCCCCCACCCAATGCCACTGTCCCACACTCACTCTCGGAGCAGATGACGCCAGCGGCGAAGCGGGTGCCCGTGTTCTTGCAGTTGACGTGGCCGCTGTGATGCCGGCAGTGGCTCAGTGACATCTCATGGCCAGCGCACTTGACACCGCTCAGCACCATCTCAGTCACGTTGCTGGCGTCCCAGTACCATGTTTCCTGGGGGCACATGTGGCTCAGAGCGGAGCCAGACTGGGCCATGGCCACAGCCATGGCTCTCGGCCCTGGACAGGACATGGCCATGGCAGCACCAGGCCCTATGTGCACCCTCCTGGTGCGAGCTACATGTGTGTGGTGAGACACACGTCCTCCTCCCGTGGCCCCAGAACCAGCCCCGGGGTTCTCTCCTGCTGGTACCAGCCACAGCCAGGACCCCGCTGGCTCCTCGTGCCCACGCCCAGGCCGGCCAGGGCATGGGTGAGCCCCAAGCTCCTGCCCTGCCCCACTGTCACGGTGACCACAAGGGAGACCACGCCACCGTGGCCCAGACTCCGTGGCGCCTGCCGCTGAGCTGGCAATGATGCCACGCTCCTCGCAAACATCCTGAGTGAGGCCTGCGCCTCTAGCACCGCATCACCTGCCCTCTGACAGAGCTCAGGCCTGGACCCTCTGGTCCAGCCCAGCCCCCAGCGGCACCTACCACGGCGGCAGCCCCCGGTGCAGGAGGGGGCTGCAGGGGTGTCTGGCCTGGCTGTGCAGCCCCCACTGCCGCCAGGGCCGCTGACGCTTACCGTGACGGCGTGCAGGGAGTAGCCGAGGCCGAGTTGGCGGCAGGCCACCATGGCCTCCTTGGTGGTCCAGCCCTCGCTGCACACCGTGCCCCAGCGCCCGCCGTGCCGCACCTCCACGCGGCCCTCAGTGGCCGTCCGGCCGCCCACAATACGGATCTGCGAAGACGCCCTGGGGCAGGTGAGCCGGCAGCCCCCAACCCCCGCCCTGCAGCCCTTGGCTCCCAGGCGCGTGGTTAGCTGTGGCATGGCGCTGCCGCACCAGCACCTACTTGCAAGCCATGGTTAGCGAATCCCAGGCCCAGCTGGCGACAGGCCACGGCGGCCTCCAGCGTGCCCCAGCCTTCGCCGCAGATGAGGCCCCAGTGCGGGTGCCCCTCGCCGTCTGCCCCCACCACCACCTCGACCCGCCCCTCGAAGCGGCTCCGGCCCCCGCTCAGGCGAATCTGTGGGCAAATGGCGCGGGGGCATCAGCGTGGCTAGCAGGCGGGCAGGGCTGGGCAGAGACGCCCATGAGGCAGCCAGAGTGACTGAGCCTGTGCCCAGAGTGTCTCATGACGCCTGGGCCACATCCTGCTCCCCCTGCCCAGCACACTGCTGATGCCGATGCTGCGCTCCATCTCCAGGCCTGCTGCAGCGCTGGCACCGCCCTGCACCCCCATGGCCACCACCATCCTGGCAGAGGCTGATGCTCCCCCAGCTGCATTGGGGCACTGGAGATGGGCTGACATCAGCGCAGACCCTCGCTTGTGAGGCAGCAAGGCAGGCGCACTGCACCATCTGGGGCTGCATGTGCCCAGCTCAGGGCTCCTCCCCTGTGGGCGCAGGACCCGGGGCTGGAGCATTTCAGGCTGCGGTGATACTCAGTCCTTACAGCTCTGCTCCACGTATTAGGGGGTTTAAGCCTCCCCCAGAGGCGCTGGTGCTGCTGCAGCCCAGGCTGGGGATGGGGCTGGGCTGGGCCAATGCTCCTGCTGGCACCGACCCTGCTGGGTACTGGCTGGAGGGTTTTGGCCCTGCGCTCAGGCTCAGAACAGTGCCATGGGGCTTAGACTGGATATGCCCCCTCAGCTCCATGCTGCGCTCCCTGGCTATAGAGGCATTTGGGCCCAATCCTCCCCTCCCCGCAGCCCCTTGCGGCCATCTGGCTCTAGCGTGGGCTGCCTGTCTCTACACTCGGCAGCCCAAAATCTGTGCCTGTTGCTTGGGAAGGAGTTGGTTTTGGGCTCTGGTTCCTGCCCCATGGTCAGTGGGGCTGCCCCACTGGGTGGGGGCAGCTGGGGCTGGTGGTAGCGGCAGGGCTGCTGAGCTGGGCAGATGCAAAAGCCCAAAGCACATTTGGGGGCAGTGAAACCTTGGGAGAATCCAGCTGGATCCGGCCCAGCCGTTTCAGGAAAGCCAAAGGAGTCTTTTGAGGGGTGCAGGAGTAGGGGTTGCCAAAGGCTGGGTCATTTCAGAGCTGCACAGGGCCAGGGGTGAATGCCCCAAGCCGGGGACCAAATGTTTTGCTCCAAGGGGGTCAAAGCATTCGGGTTCACCCTGAAATGACCCCGGGGCTGTATCCGCGGAGCTGAGCCCCCTGTCCAGGTCAGCCCCAGCCCAGGCACGCTGGGAGGTGCTGGGAGTCTCCATGCAGCCACGGCCTGGAGAAGCCACCCATGCAGCACCTCACGTCCAGCACACGGCCCGGAGCTGCCACCGGGAGACGGGCCAGCCCATGGAGTCGCCAGCTGCGGCAGCGTCCCCCCGGGACCAGGGGAGACGGAACAAGGGGGGCAGCCGCGGTGCCCTCCCCTGCCCCCAGACCCTCTCTCCCTTCCCTGGGGCCCTCGAGAGCCAGCGGCAGCACCCACCAAGCCCTGCGTGGTCCCGGGCCACGTCCCTGCGGTGCCATTGCTGGACACGGCAGCCCAGGAAGGGGGCAGGGAGGGGCACGTCCTGGGGGCAGGGGGCTGCGGCAGGGGCAGTGCGGCCCAGCCAGCGGCACCCCAGCGGGCCCAGTGCTGACCGTGGTCTCGTAGCCCATGTAGGGGATGTTGCAGCGGACGCCGGCGTCCTCCGAGTGCTTGCAGCCCTCCTCTGTGATGTTCTTGTAGGGGCAGCTCCACAGCGACGCCTCCGTGCCCGTGCACCGCACCTCATTCAGGTGGATCGGGCCCATGCCTGCCACCAGGGCCCGGCTCAGCGTGGGGGCAAAGGACTGCTCTGGACCCGCATCCGGGCTGTGGCCCTGCCCAGCCCTGGCCGCCCCGGACCCCGCTCACCTTGGCCCATGCGGGCACCGGTCAGGGCCTCCTTGGCACTGCCGAAGCCGAGCTCGCGGCACACGACGCTGGCCGACAGCAGGCTCCAGCGGTCATCGCAGACGGTGCCCCACTCACCGTGCCGCAGCACCTCCACGCGGCCCTCGCCCACCTTGGCGCCGCCCTTCAGCCGCAGCCGCTGCTGGGGAGCACAGGGACACGTCGGAGCCAGGCCTGGGGCTGGGGTGGTGCCAGGACCAGGTCAGACCCCGTGTTTGGACAGGCCGGATCCTGCCTGAAGCCAGGGCTGGGCGGCTGTGACTGTGCCCCCGGCTCCGCTGTGCCTCAGCCGCCCTGGGAGAGCACTCACCTGCCCTGGCTGCCGCTGCGGCCGCTTCTTGCCCCGGGGGCTGCTGGCGGCGAAGAGGGGCCCGGGCACGCAGCTCACGACGGCCGGCATCCCCCCCTTGCAGGCGGTGGTGGCGTTTCCGCGGTAGAACTCGAAGGGACACATGGAGATGTGCACCTCGGTGCCAGCGCAGGCCACCGAGTGCAGCCGGAAGTTCAGCTGCTGGCGCTCCGCGTACAGCCTGCGGGAGAGCGGCGGGCAGAGTCAGGCGCACCCCGGCACCGCAGGGAGCGTCAGCCGGACTCCAGCGCGGCAGGGACGGCATCGTCTGGACTGTAGGGGCAATGACATTGCGGTGTAGGGGCAATGTCACCCGGACCCCAGCACTGCAGGGACAGCATCACACTGCCAGGGCAGCATCAGCTGGACCCCAACACCATGGGGGGCAGCATGAACCGAACCCTGGCATTGCAGGGGCAGCATCAGCTGGCCCCCAGCGCTGGAGGGGTAGTGTCAGTCAGACCTCAGCACCATGGAGTCGGTGCCAGCCGGACCTTGGCACTGGCACAGCAGGGACAGTGTCAGCCAGACCCTGGCGTTGCAGGGGCAGGGGAAGCCGGACCCCAGCTCCATGGGGGCAGCGTCACCCGGACCCTGGCCCCCGGGGGCTGCGCCTCTGCCCAGCCCAGCAGCCCTCGTTCTCCACTGCCCTAACGCCGGTACCGTGGCCCAGAGGAGTCATCTGTCTCAGCCCACGTGGATGGTGACATGTCAAGGCTGGCACGTGGCCACAGGGCTCCCTGCACCTGCTGCCCCAATTACCTCTTGGTGGCCCCCCAGTCCTCCCTGCACTTGTGCTTGCGGCAAGGCCTGGTGACCCGCCTGCAAGACAGAAAACTACGTCAGCGGCTCAGTGCCGCGCACCCCGCCACCGAGCCCCCCGCGGCGCGAGGCTGGAGACCCAAGCCAATGGGAGCGCTTCCCACCTCGTGTCAGGTGACAGCAACTTGGTCACCCTCCGCAATGACATCACCTGCCTCTTCCTGCCACGTGACGTCAGCAGTCAATAACTGCTGTGATGTCATTTGCCGCTGCGTGATACATCAGGAAACTGCCCGTCAGCCGCGGCGACGTCATTTCCTGCCTCATGTCACAGGCGCATGCTCCCAGGGATGCAGGGGGCACCCAGTGCAGGGACAGGGCCTGGGGCCACGCATGGGGCAGGCCCCCCGCTGCCTTCCAGGGGGCCGGGGAGGAGCAGAGAGTCCCTGGGGCAGCCAACGGCCTGACAGCGCCACATCTCGCAGGCCACAGGCAGCAAGTCGCCCATGGTCAGCCCCAGTTGGACTTTGCAAAGGGCAGTAACAGAGGTCCTGCCCCACAGCCCTGGGCAGGGTCCAGGGGGCAGGAGCCCGAGAGCAGAAGCCTGCGACCCCCACAGGGGATGCAGGTGGCTCTGGCAGGGACACGGGCGACATCACAGATCGTTTCCCATAACAGCAACGATCCCGGGCAGGAGCAGGGTGCGGGGCGGAAATGGGAACTGCGAGAGCCACGGTGTACGCGGCAATGGGACGAGGCACCACGCGGCGCGTTGAAGGGACCGCACCAGGCCACCACAGGCCCTTCCTGCAGACCTGTGGACACGTGGTGGATCCCAGCCACCCAGATGATGGAGGAGGGTCTGCGAGTCTTGGCAGACCGCAGACTTAACATGAGCCTGCAGGCTGATGCAGCCGCATGCAAGGACCATGCAGATTTGGGCAGCATCAGTAGAGGCGCTGGGTGCAAGACACGGGCGGTGATCATGCCCCCGTACTCCACATCTGCAGTACTGCGCGCCCTTCCGAGTGCCACGTTGCAAACAGGCCGTGGAGAAGGGGGAGAGGGTCCAGATGCTCAAGAGCTTGGAAAGCAGGTCCTGGAGCAGGGGCTGGAGCTGGGCAGGTTCAGCCGGTGGAGAAGGTGCTGAAGAGGGGACATGGCAGCAGCCTGCAAGTCCCTGAAGGGCTGCCAGAGAGACGAGGGAAAGCGCCCGGTCTCTCCTCCCGCAAAGAGGCAGATGTGGAGCAATAGCTGGACGTTGCAGCAAAGTCAGTTTAGGTTGGAGATGAGGAAACACTTCTTCACTGTCAACGCAGGGAAGCCGTGGGAGACACCAGGGAAAGGGTGGGCTCTCCATCACTGGAGGTTGGGGATGATCTGGGCGCAGCGTCAGTGCTGGCGGTAACTTTACAAAGAGATTAGCTGATGGGTTTGTCTGGGCTGGTTTGGACAGGGCTGATCCTGCCTCGGGCAGGGGTTGGACTAGATGAGCTCCACGGAGGTCCCTTCCAGCCCCGCTTCTCCGTGACGCTATGGTTTACAGTCAGGGGCCGGCCGGGCGGGCAGGGCCACCGGAGACCCATCATGTCCTGCCCCGGTTGTCGTTATTGCTGCAGTGTCGTGGCGCAGTACAATGGAGGTGCTGGCCAGAGCCCTGCTAATGACCACGTCTGTGCCAACAGCCCTGCGGGACATCAAGCTAATGAGCAGGGCGCTGGCGGCCTGGCAACGCGTTGCTGGCCACGTGTTCACAAGCACAGTGGCCGTGGCTGCTCCTGGACAGCTGGCAGGAAGGGCGGGCGTGGGGACGGGCGCCTGTGACGCCAGGGGATCAATAAGGAGACGTCAGGCCACGGTGGCCATGAACCGGGGGGGTTCTCTGCTGTTGAGGGCACGGGGGAGACTCTACGGTAGTGAGGGGCTGTCTGCTGGGCAGACGTTTTCTTTGGACTTTCCCACGCCGTGGGGTGAACCCACGTCTCCAGCAGTGCTGTAGCCAGAGGGGGGGGGCAGTTTCATCTGTTGTTTTATTTTCTGTCTCCAGACTACGCGGCTGGTTTCTCTGGCACGATGCTCCCCTGGATGTCAGTCTTCCTTCACTGTGGTGCTGCCTGCCCGAGGCAGAGAGGTCCCGGTGGCCTCCTCCGCTCCTCTCTCTCTGGCAGCCTCCAGCATTTGAAATCTAGATATCAAAATGGGGTTATCCCAGGGCAAACCTGGCTCCTGGGTACTGGCAGTGGGGCAGTGGGGGAACATGGGCACGGGCACCTCGAACAGCAGCTCCGTGGTAGGTCATGTGGGAAATGAAGGGTCAGACTGGAGACGATGGGACCAGCGCAGATAAGTTACCTCGGGTGTTCAGCTTGCCACCTCGGGTGTCTGCGCATGAACGCACAGAGCCTGGGAAACAAGCAGGAGGAGGTGGGAGTCCGTGTACAGCCACGGAGCCATGACACGATCGCAATGACAGAGACCTGGTGGGAGCGCGCGTGACTGGAGCACGGTCACGGATGGGTACAAACTGCTGAGGAAGGACAGCATGTGGACAAGCTAAAGAGAGTCCAGCGGAGGGCAACGAAAATGGTTTGGGCCTTGGGCTCATGACTTGTGAAGAGACGGAGGGGACTGGGCTGGTTTAGTCTGCAGAAGAGACGACCGAGGGGGATTGAATAGCAGCCTCCACCTCCCTGCAGGGGGGCTGCAAACAGGATGGAGCTGAATTGGTCTCAGTGGGGGCAGATGGCAGGACAAGGAGCAATGGGCTCAAGCTGCAGCAAGGAAAGTTGAGGTTGGATATTAGGAAAAACTTTCTTACTAGGATGATGGTGAAGCCCTGGGACAGGCTCCTCAGAGAGGTGGTGGAGTCAGGATCACAGACAACAAGGGTGGGAAGGGACCGCAGGAGGTCACATCTAGTGCAATGCTCTGCTCCAAGCAGGACCAGCCCCAACCATGTCATCCCAGCCAAGGCTTTGTCTACCCGGGTCTTAAACACCTCCAAGGATGGAGACTGCACCACCTCTCTGGGAAGCCTCTTCCAGTGTTTTACTACTCTCCTCATGAGAGTTTTTCCTCATATCCAACCTCAACTTCCCTTGCTGCAGCTTGAGCCCATTGCTCCTTGTCCTGTCATCTGCCCCCACTGAGACCAGTCCAGCTCCATCCTCTCTGCAGCCCCCCTGCAGGGAGCTGAAGGATGCTATTCAATCCCCCTCGGTCTTCTCTTCTGCAGACTCAATCAGCCCACTTCCCTCAGCCTCTCCTCACCAGTCCCTGCCCCAGCCCACAACCATTTTAGCTGGAAATTCTCCAATGTGTCCACACCCTTTCTGCACTGGGGGCCACAGCTGGACACAGGACTCCAGATGTGGCCTCCCTTGTGCCAAATAGAGGGAAGAATCGCTGCCCTCCATCCGCTGGCGACGCTCCTCCCAATGCAGCCCAGGATGCTGGTGGCCTTCTTGGCACCAAGGGCACACTGCTGGCTCCTGTCCAGCTTCTTGTCCCCTGTCCCCCCAGGTCCTTTTCTGCAGAGCTGCTGCCCAGCCCGTTGCCCCCAGCCTGCACCGGTGTAGGGGATCGCTCCCTCCTCGGTGCAGGACTCTGCACTTGTCCTCGTTGAAGCTCATGAGATTCCTGTTGGCCCAGTCCTCTAACGTGGCGAGGTCTCTCTGAATCCTAGTCCAACCCTCCAACGTGTGTACTACTGCCCCCAGCGTGGGGTCATCTGCAAACTGCTGAGGGTGCACTGCATCCCGTCTTCCAGGTCATTGATGAAGATATTGAACAAAACCGGCCCAGGACCAACCCCTGGGGCACTCCACTTGACACTGGCTGCCAAGTAGATGTTGAGACACTGATTACTACCCGTTGGGCCTGACAATTCAGCCAACTTTCTATCCAACTTACAGTCTGTTCATCCAACCCAGAATTCCTCAGCTGGCTTGCAAGAAGGCTGTGGGAGAAGGCATCAAAAGCCTTGCTAAAGTCAAGGTTTATTATGTCCACTGCTTTCCCCACATCCAGAGAGCCAGTCACCTCATCACAGAAGGCAATCAGGTTGGTCAGGTATGACTTGCCCCTGGTGAATCCATGCTGACTGTTTCTAGTCATCTTCTTCTTCTCCAAGTGCTTAGAAATGGATTCCTGGAGGATCTGCTCCATGATTTTTCTGGGGACTAAAGTGAGGCTGACTGGTCTGTCCTTCCCTGGATTTTCCTTCTTCCCTTTCTTCAACACGGGCACTATTTCTGCCCTTTTCCAATCATCCAGGACCTCCCCCAATAGCCATGACTTTTCAAAGATCATGGCCAGAAGCCCTGCAATCCCATCAGCCAACTCCCTCAGCACCCTTGGCTGCATCCCATCCAGCCCCGCTGACTTGTACACATCCAGCTTTTCTAACTAGTCCCTAACCTGTTCTTTCACCACCGAGGGCTGCTCCCCTCCTCCCCAAACTGTGCTGCCTGGTGCAGACGTCTGGGAGCTGCCCTTGCCCGTGAAGACCAAGGCAAAAAAGGCATTGAGCACTTCAGCCTTTTCTGCATCCTCTGTCACACGGTTGCCTCCCCCGTGACCCGCACTTTCCCTGACCTTCCTCTTACTACTGAAATACTTTCATAGATTCATAGATTCATAGATTAAGGGTCGGAAGGGACCTAGTAGATCTTCTAGCCCGACCCCCCGCCAGGGCGGGAGAACAACAAAAAACCCCAAAAAGAGAAATGGGACTCAAACGAGTCCAGCCAGGTAGGCATCCAGCCTCTTCTTAAAGACCCCCAGGGTAGGGGCCAGCACCACTTCCCTTGGAAGTTGGTTCCAGCTCCTAGCCGCCCTAACTGTGAAGTAGTTTTTGCGGATGTCCAATCTATACCTCCTCTCCATCAACTTGTGCCCATTACTCCTTGTTATGCCAGCGGGCGCTAGGGGAAACAGCGTCTCCCCCAAACCCTTCTGGTCCCCCCTAGTGAGTTTATAGACGGTCACCAGGTCCCCCCTCAGCCTTCTCTTGTGGAGGCTGAATAGGTTCAGGTCCCGCAGTCTCTCACTGTAGGGTCTGCCCTGTTGTCCCCGGATCATGCGGGTGGCCCTCCTCTGGACCCTCTCCATGTTGTCCACATCCCTCTTGAAATGGGGCGCACAGAACTGGACACAATACTCCAGCTGTGGCCTGACCAGCGTCGCATAGAGGGGGAGGATCATCTCCCTGGCTCTACTCGAGATGCACCTGTGGATGCATGACAAGGTCCGGTTCGCCCTGCCAACCGTGACCTCGCATTGTCGGCCCATGTTCATCTTGGAGTCTATAATGACTCCAAGATCTCTTTCTGCCTCCGTGCTCTCGAGTAGGGAGTTCCCCATTGTGTAAGTGTGCTGCTGTAGAAACCCTTCACATCTCTTGCTAGCTGCAACTCCAATTGCGCTTTGGCCTTCTTGGTTTCATCCCTGCATGCCCAAGCCATGTTTTTACACTCCTCCCTAGTTGTTTGTCCAAATTTCCACTTCTTGTAAGCTTTCTTTTTGTGTTTAAGCTCACCAAAGAGTTCTCTGCTAATCCAAGCTGGTCATTTACCACATTTGCTAGTCTTCCTGCACATCGGGATGGGTTGTACCTGTGCCCTCAGTAAGGTTTCTTTAAAATACAGCCAGCTCCTGGACTCCTCTCCCCTTCAGACTGGCCTCCCAGGGGATCCTGCCCATGAGTTCCCTGAGCAAGTCAAAGGCTGCTTTTCTGAAGTTGGTTGTCCTTACTCTGCTGCTCGCCATCCTTCCTGTCCTCAGGATCCTGAACACAATCATCTTGTGGTCAGTGCTGCCCAAGTTGCCGTCTGCGACTGCATTCCCCACCAACTCTGCCCTGTTTATGAGCAGCAGGTCAAGAAGAGCACGGCTCCTAGTTGGCCGCTCCAGTACTTGGACCGGGAAGCTGTCCCCACCGCTCTCCCAACACATCCTGGATTGCGTGCGCACTGCTGTGTTGCCCTTGCTGCAGATATCAGGGTGACTGGTCCCCCATGAGAACCAGGGCTTCTGATCGGGAAACTTCTGCAACTGCTTGAATAAAGCCTCATTCACCTCATCCTCCTGGGCTGGCCATCTATTTCACAGATTTCATAGACATTCGGGCTGGAAGGGACCTCGGAAGATCATTGAGTCCAGCCCCCCGCCCAAAGGGCAGGAAGTCAGCTGGGGTCATAGGATCCCAGCAAGATAAGTATCCAATTTGCTCTTGAAGGTGTTCAATGTAGGTGCTTGAATCACCTCCGATGGCAGGCTGTTCCAGACCTTGGGGGCTCAGACAGTAAAGAAATTCTTCCTTATGTCCAGCCTGAAACGGTCTCACAGTAGTTTATGACCATTCGACCTCATCATCCCTGGGGGCGCTCTGGTGAACAGACGTTCCCCCAGATCCTGGTGGTCGCCCCTGATAAACTTATAGGTGGCCATCAGATCACCCCTGAGCCTGCGCTTTTCCAGGCTAAAGAGCCCCATGGCTCTCAGCCTGTCGTCATGAGGTCTGTTTTCCTGACCTCTGATCATGCGCGTTGCTCTTCTCTGGACTCTCTCAAGCTTCTCCACATCCTTTTTGAATTGTGGACCCCAAAACTGGACGCAGTACTCCAGCTGCGGCCTCGCCAAGGCCGAGTACAAGGGGAGAATGACGTCTCGGGATTTGCTTGAGAAGCATCTATGGATGCAAGCCAGCGTTTTCGTCGCTTTACTAGCCGCAGCATCACATTGCAGGCTCGTGTTCATCTTGTGGTTAATGATGACCCCCAAGTCTCTTTCTTCCATAGCGCTAGCCAGTGTAGCACTGCCGAGCCTATAAGGATGCTGCAGGTTTTTTTTCCCAGCAGACCCCCAGCACAGCATCACCTTTGTTGCTCTCCCCTGTGACCTGAACCCAGAGGCTTTCAAGAGGCCTGTCTCCAGTTTCATGCTGGAGCTCTGAGCCATCATACGGCTCTTTCACGTGCAGCACAACTCCCCTCCTCTTCTCCCCGGTCTGCCCTAAAATCATAAATCCTAGACAATGAACTCACATCTGGTCCAACTCCCTGCTCAAAGCAGGACCAGCCCCAACTACATCATCTCAGGTCTTAAAACACATCCAAGGATGACAGAACAAGGAGCAAAGGGCTCACATTGCAGAGAGGGAAGTTGAATTTGGATATTAGGAAAAACTCTCTCCCAAGGAGGGTGGTGAAGCACTGGGGCAGGTCACCCAGAGAGGTGGTGGACTCTCCATCCTTGGAGGGGTTTAAGACCCAGGTAGACAAAACCCTGGCTGGGATGATGTAGCTGTGGCTGGTCCTGCTTGGAGCAGGGAGTTGGACTAGATGCGACCTCCTGGTGCCAGAGCCCTGCAGCTGACATGCGCCATGCCGGCAATGCGGACTGGGGGCAGCAGGCTGCACCGGCTCCAGGACGGAGCTGCGCAAGCACCAGCCCGCAGCAGCGCCAGGCATGGGGGCAGAGGTGCCCTCCCCAGAGGCCAGGGGACTATTTGATGTCCTCCAAAACATGGTAGGACCATCAGGAGCTGTGGGCTGCCGCTGGATGGCAGCCGGCGGTGCAGAAAGTCCTGTGGACACCGTGCAGGAGTCCAGAGACGGTCCAGATGTTGCTGCCCCCGACTGGGGGCAGATCCAAGCTGGCCGCCACTGCTGCTGCGAGGGGCGACCGGCGCCGTGATGACATCAACAGAGAGAAGTGGGCGGGGTATCTTATTGGTGCTTGGCGCTGCAGGGGGCTGCTCCTGGCCCCCCCTGACACCAGGGAGATGGGCAGCTACCAGGAGGGAGCACGGCACCCAGCCCAGCCCCGGCCCCGGAGAGGAGATGAGGCACTACCCGGTGCAGCCCATGGGGCCACGGGGCTTCCTGCTCCTCAAGGGGGATGCATCGCCTGCCTGGGATCACTGCAGCCTGAGCCCTGAGCAGAGCAAGGAGGGTCCGACGGGCCCCAGTCCCTCCTGCGCCCTCACCGGCCTGTGCCCAGACACCCTCGGTCCACAGGGAGGGGAAGGGGCAGGCAGCAGCGGGGATGACGGCGGAGCTGCCCAGCGCTCAAGCAGGCTCTACAAGCTCCCGTACGCGCGAGACTCAGGCATGGGGTTTGCAGCAGGCAGCCGAAGACCTATAGCCGTTTCTTCCAGAAAACGGCCCATGCCCGCTGGCCCCGGCCCGTCCAGGAGAGACGGCTCCGCTCCCGGGCCCCCACAATGGCCAAGGACCTGGTTCCCCAGGCCCAGACTCCTGGGCCGGGCGACTCCCTCCGGCCCTGCCGGCGGGCGCTGGGCAGGCAGGCGCAGGTGCAGGCGCAGGCACAGCCGTGGCCCGAGAGAAGGAGCCGTCTTTTTATGGCAGGAGCAGCAGAAGCAGGATCTGGCCCAGCCCCGGGCACAGCCCTGACCAGACAGCCACACGTGGCATGGGCAGCGGGGGCCGGGTCACGGCCCAAGGGGCAGAGCAGCCCTTCAGCCAGCGGGGCCAGCCCCGGGGTGCAGAGGCCATGCGGCCGCTGCCCCGTTACCTCCTGCCCAGCCCCGGGCTCCAGGCCCTCGTCCTGGCTGCGCGCTTCAGCCGTCTGTGGGAACAAACAGGGACCAGGTCGTGGGGGAGCAGGGGGGGGCACCCACTGGGTCCTGACGGCAGCACCGGGCACCCCAACGAGGGGCCAGCAGGCAGCGTCGCCCAAAGGGACCCCCACCGCAGCCCCCCAGCAATGCCCCCGCCCCTGCCTGGCCCCGCTGTCCCTCTCCAGACCCCGGCCCCCGCGCAGGCACCTGGGACCCACTCACTTGTAGAAGTTCCTGTTGACCTTCCTCTCGGCCGGGAAGCCCATCATGCCGCAGACGACGCGGCTGCTGCGGCTGTCCCAGCCCTCGTCGCAGATCTGGGCCCAGCTGTCCTTGTAGCGCACCTCCACGATGCCCTCCGTCACCGGCAGCCGCCGCCGGGCGCTGGCCACCACGGGCCGCAGCCGCAGCTCCTCCACCTGGTTCTGCTCCGTCTGCGGGGGGAGAGCCCGGTCAGCCCCACGGGCACCTGGACCCTGCCGTGGCACCGACCGGCCCAGGCTCAAGTCCTGCCTCTCTCTGGCCTGGAGCAGCGATTCGAACGCAGGTCCCGGGAGCGGGGACGAGGAGAGCTGGGATCCAGCGCTGAGCGTCACGTGCACAGTGGAGTAGCGCCAGCCAGAGCGGCACAAGCCTGTGGCCCAGCACCCACCAGCCCCCGTCTCAGCCCTGCATGCTCAGCCCGTGGCAGGGCCTGTCCCCCGCCCCATGTACCCTGGGCATCTGCAAGGGCCAGGCCTGCACCAGGGCCCCCACGGGCACCACCTGCTGCCTCCGGGGCAGGGGCCGAGCAGGCACGAGGTCCCCAGATAGGAGACAGAGTCAGGTGTTAGCGCAGGGTCAGAGGAGCCAGAGAGCCTGGAAGAGTGAGAGAGCGAGTGAGCAAGAAACCAGAGAGCAGGAGAGCACGGAGAGGCCGGGGCAGCGTCACAGTAGAGGCAGCGAGGTCGGGTGGGAGTGGGGACCCCAGCCTGGGCTCGGGGAGGCTCCAGGCTCAGCGAGAGAAGCCCCTCCAGGGAGCAGGGCCCAGTCCTGGACTCTCCCGGGGTCAGACCTCGGCCCCAGGTGGGTCCAGGCCGGCAGGTGGCTGAGCGCTGCAGTGGTCAGAGGTGCATGGCGCTGTCCATCCCTGTGCCACGGGGAGTCCTCACATCCGTCCGCTCCCACCACCGTCCAACTGAGCACACACTGCAGCCCTGGGGTCCGCGCTGGGGCAGGCCGTGCCCAGGCCACTGGCTCTCTGGGGCATCGGGACCAGTCCCACAGCCCCCGGGCAGGGCTGGGGGGCGGCATGGCAGCTGGCAGTGTCCAGCTCTGGAAGGTGGACCATGGCCAGGCGGGGAGCCAGCGCCAGGCAGGATGAGGCTACATGGAGGCAGGGCTGCCCGGCGGCGCAACGCGGTGCAGCATGGCACTCGCCTCGATGACGTTGGAGTCCACGAAGCCGGGGATGCGCTCGTCCTTGCAGACCACGCCGGCATCCTCCTCGTGGGTGCAGTCGCTGTTCCCCCAGCCCCGTGACTTGCAGGCCACGATGCTCTTCTCACTGCCCCCGCACACCACATTGTCCAGCCAGATCCGCCCTGCCAGAGGGAGGAGGCACCACCGTCAGGGCCCAGGTACAGGGGCCAGGTGGGGGGCAGCTCACCGGGACAGCCCCTGCCCTACCAAGCTTGGGGAGCCCCCAGAGCAGGGCAAGGAGGAGCGGGGGGGCATAGCGGAGCGGCCCCGAGATGTCACCCCAAGCCCCGCCAATCCCACAGCAGAGCAGTGCTTCGAGGGGGGCTTCACGCAGCCCCTTCCTCTCCCCCTCCCCAAACCTGTAGCAATGAACACCCAGCCTGACACCCCCCAAGCACACACACATGTATGTACACACAGACACAAGCACACGCACACACGCACATTCTGGCACGCACACACTCACGCGCATGTACACTGCCCCCGTGCCATCAGTGTGCTGGGGAAGACGCGCGTGGGGCTCACCGACGCCTTTGCCGTATTTGGCGCTGTGGGCCCAGCCGGTGGCGCCCGCGAAGCCGAGGTGGCGGCAGAGCACGTGCGCGTTGGCCAGCGTGAAGTCGTCGTCGCAGACCGTGCCCCACTCCTGGTTGTAGAAGACCTCGATGCGCCCCTCGTTGTGCTTGCGGGGGTAGCCGGCCAGGCGGAAGCGCAGCCGGGTGCCGGGGCTGGGGCTGGGCGCCGTGGGGGGGGGCGTGCTGGGCTGCGCCGCCACCCCCCAAAGCCACAGGCTGCACAGCAGGGTCAGCGGCTCCCGCCGGGCCCTGGCAACACCAATGCTGCTCCTCATGCCTGCTGCTGGCCTGGAAAGAGAGGGGCAGCTGAGGTGGGGCTGGGACCCGGGGGACTCCGGGGACCCTCACCTGGGGCTGGGCACAGCAGAGGGGGCTCAGAGCCCTCTCCCACCCCAGGGTGCCCTGGCCGTGCCCCGCGGCAGGGACAGATGGGACACAGAGCAAGGCGCAAGGCGCAGGCCTGGCCGAGCACTGTGCGGGGCCGTGGCACCATGCAGGACTGGCACAGCCCAGGCTGTGCACCTCTGACTCCTGCCAGCGGCCAGCCCCCGAGTGGCTGCACCGGAAAGCCGGCACCGTGGTGCTGCTGGCCGGTCAGCGGAGACCTGCTCTGAGCTAGCCCTGCAGTGACGTCGCTGCAGGGCCAGGGGAGCGATAGCGGTGCAGGGCTGGGGCTGGGCACGGACGGCCCCATGGGTGCCAGCTTTCATACAGCCCCATGCAAGGTCCAGCTCAGGGAGGGAGCCCAAGGACGAGGGTGCATCCCAGGGCACAGGGGTCACCACAGACCAGCCCTGCGCCGTGGGGTGGGAGGGCAGCAGAGTCCGGCTGCACGGGCAGAGGGTGGGCCATGGCACGGACAGCGGCACTGTCTCTGTACGTGGCAGGGTCCCGGCAGCACGGCTGGCCCCATGATGCTCCCGGGGGGAGGCTGGCGGTCGCAGCCCTGGAAAGCTACGACTGGGAGTGGCAGCAGCCCTGGAAAACCTGCCTCATGGGCTGAGAAAAGCCATCTGCCGAGCTTATGTAACAGCCTGGAAACGGCTCCAGCAGCCACGGGCCAAAACTGGCCAGGGCCTGGGGACAGCCCATGTCAGACCTGGCTCCACGCTGCACGTCCAGCCAGGAGGCACCAGCCTGGCAGCTGACTGGGGCAGGGGGACTCTCACAGCCGAGATCACGCAGCCCCTTGCTAACGCATGGTCTCACGCAGCATGGCTGCAGGGAGCGCTGGGCAAGGCGCTCGCAGGCTCACGCCATATGTGCATGCGTGTCTGTCTGCACGCATGTCAGGCTGGGCGATTATCACTGGCCCCAGCGCTGCAGAACCAGGGCGAGGGGCCAGCCTGGGACTACATGGCCCTGCCAGTGCGACCGCAGGAGGAGGCACGACGTGCGCTGGGCAGGCAGCCGCAGAGCTGCCCTCATGGCCCGAGCTCTGAGCAGGGGCAGGGGCAGCCCTGGAGGGTGACAGCCAGCTCAGCTCCGCCCAAGGGCCGTGGAGCAGGCAAGACGAATTATGCTAAGGCTCTTGAGCCTAGTTTAGGCCTTCCTGGAACTAAGCAATTAAATTGTACAGAGCGCCTTATAAGGCACTGGGAAAAGCGAGTGCTGCAGTTGGTGTGGTGGGCTAACCAGGTGCAGTAGTTTCCCTAGAAGGAAAGAAAACCAAAAATGGAATAGGATTGGAGTACCTTATCTAAAAAGACGAGGTAAGAAACTTGAGGATTGGACAATCTGAGGTGAGAAAGTTAGAAAAGTAGTAGACAAACAAAGGAACAGCTGTGTTTTGCGTTGCCACCCTGGGGAGACAGGAGCAACTTTGGGATTCTTGTTTGAATAACGAGGAATCCAGACACCAACATCCCGCACGCCCAGCACAGGAGCGTGTGTGTGCCTGTAAAAAATAATCTGAGGCTGGTACCACCAAAGGTCGCTGTTGTAACACCTAAAGAACTTCTTGCTGGGTCGTATTATGGGGCGAAAACTTGTAATAAAGATTAGGGATTACTATTAAAGTTCACTTGATACCAAATCGGACAAGGGGCCGTGTCAATCCCTGGGGGTCTTTGTAAAAGGGATCCTAGTGGCAACAAAGCCCCGTGGCCTCAGGCCGGCTCCTTCTCACCTCGCGGTCTCGGCCAGCCCGCAGATACCAGATGCTCCCCTGGGCCCAGCCTCCCTCACCTTGGATGCAGCAAGCACAGCTGAGGAGGTGGCCGGTCAGGCTGGTGCAAGGAGTCTGCGTCTCCCACAAGCCCCCGCTGCCTCTCAGCTGCCCTCCTGCCCCCAACGTGGGTGGTGTGGCAGGATGGGCAGCGCGGCAGAGATGGTGGCAGGACTGGACTGCACCCCGTGCCCTTTGCCCAGCCTCGCCTGAGGAAGACGGTACTGGCCGAGTGGACTGCGGGCCCCAGCAGCGGGTCTGAGGACAAGGACGCGCTGCACCAGTGGCACCGCCCCAGCCGAGACCAGGCAGACCAGCTGGCAGGCAACAGCAATGTCCCTGGGGCCAGGCTGGAAGCAGGCGGGCGCAGGCGTTTCCAGGACAGCCCTGGCCCAGGACTAGTTGGTGCCGTGGCAGGCACCAGACGAGCCGTCAGGGAGGGCAGGAGCCACACGGCAGCGGAGGGTCCCACGCCTGCGTGGTTGCACGCAGCCTGCTCCAGCACCCACCGGGCGGGCAGGCATCCCCCGTGGGAGGGTGGGTGCTGCTGTGTCCTCCACGCAGCCTGCTGCAACCAGGGCCGGGGCTTGCCCTGTGCGAGGGCTGGGGCAAGCCCGGGCCCCTGCCCCACAGAGGATGCTTAACCCGCCCCAGCGCACATGGGACGTGCCGGCCCCACAGGCACGGATGGGACCCAGAGCCGGGCCGGCCCTGAGCAAACAGGCGGCGGGGTGGCGGGGAGAGCCGCCGGCTCCTGCGACTGCCCAGGAAACCTCAGGAATGCGCCGGCAGCCCCGTGAATGGCCGGCTGCGCGCTGGGCCGGCCACCTCCTCACGGGCCCGGGGCCAGGCGCGGGGGCGGCCGGCGCTGCCAGCTGGGAATCAGAGGGCCTTTCAGCGCCGGGCTGGGGGGGCTCCGGGAATGCCGCAGCCGCCCTCCTCCCTCAGGGGCATCCCCGGGCGGCTGGGCCCAGCGGTGCCCACACGTCGCTGCCCTTCCCTGCCAGCCCTGGGGAGGGAGGGAAATGTCCTCGCCCAGGCTGCCTGTGGCTGAGCTCTGCCCCTTCTCTGGGGGCCAAGCTGGGAGCTCCCGACCCCGGCCTGGTGACTCATCCCCTGCCTCCCGCTGCAGTCACGGCCATGAGGTCCCCTGGCTGGGCCCTGTCCCGGCAGGGGATCGGGCAGACTCAGACCCACCGGGCTGCACTGGCACGGCCATGGGCCAGCGTCTCTCCTGCCCCTGAACCCGGAGCAGTGACACCCCCCTTGCCCCCACGGGGCAGGTCCGAGGGGCACAAGCCCCGGGGACCCTAACAGGGAGCAGCCTGGGGTGCAGCCGTCGCGCCCTTGGCAGAGGCCGGGGTCGTGCCCCCGTGCAGCCAGCGCCTTGCATGGCACGGACGCTCGGGCGCCCGGGCTGGGAACCACCGGGAGTGCGGGCAGGGCCACCGCTC